GGTAACAAAACATTTTATGAAACAATCATTTTTCCAAGAAAGTTTCAACAAAAATATTTATTTTGCCAGAAGGGGTGGGGGTAAAAATAATGGTACGATTTTGTATCTTTGCAAAACTCTTGACTACAGTCATTCCACGCAGCTATCTGACTGGCGTGAGTCCTTCTCGTGGGCTCTGGACCTCCAGTTGGACTCATGGGAGGCATGGTCATAGGCTCTAGATTTTCATCTGGACTCATGCAGGACATTGCTGTGGGATCCAGGCTCTTGGCTAAAGATTCTAATTGTTTGGTGTTGTGGACATATTTCCTGCATTTTGTTGTGTTAACTCTGGGTGACCATCATAAATAATATTATAAATTCTGTGTCCTGATTCTAATTGTTCTCTGCACAACCCCAGACTACAAGACCTGCCCATCAGCCCAGGTCCTGGGTGCCTCACTCGGGCTGTACAGGGCTGGGTTCCGGGAAGTGAAAGATCTTTCCTTGCAGACACAGCCACTTTCTCCATGGTGCTGAGACCAGGCGAAGGGACCAGGATGGGGGAAAGAAACTGCAGACTCTGATGCTAATCTGAATAAAGCTAAACGTGTGGCCTAGAAACCCCCACACCTGCCTTATAAGACGGGCATCGCCAGGGCGCAGATGCCTGCCACACCCCAGGGGCACAGCGAAGACAGGATTGCCAGCGTCTCTGGCACAGTTACCTCTGCTCTGTTCTAGAAGCTGCAGCAGACACCTCCAGGAAGCCCTGTCCAGCAGCACAGGTGTCCTCCCCTGCAAGGAAAGAACTAAGCTGTTTTCTGTCCTTCTGCTCAGGAGACTTCTGCACCATCCTGCAAGCAAGAAAAGAAACCAAAACAAACTCCTGAGGGCCCGAGTCCATATTTTCTGACGTGAGAATTTGCACAGTGAGAGACAATGATTGATGTCATATTTCTATCTCCATTTGAAGAAGTTTCGACAGCTTCTGCTAATTCAGGGCTTTCAGGGCTGAAGTCTCCCAGAAGTGGACTGCGTGGATTCCAATTATTATATAGGCTTATTTTGCCCTTTTGCTTCCAAATGATGTCTTGAAACAAGTTAGGAAAATGGCAGAAAAGTCGATTCTTCTTTGCATCCTGCGTTGTCCCACAGGATGAGATAGTTTAGCAGGGAGGCCTGGCTGTGCCCCTGGACACCTCCTCCCCCTGGAGTCTGAGAAGGCGCAGGGTGGGTGGAATTCCATGCCAGGGTGCAACCACAGCTGTTCTTTCAAACCAAGTATGTTTGATTGGGTGGCTTCCCTTTCCCTGTCCATCTCCAAATGGTGCTGGACACATATAAGCAAGCCACCCCTAAGATAAATACCACACATTTATTAAGACAGCTTTATGTGCTTTACAAGCATAAACTGTTTTACTCATCACCACAGGACTATAGGGTGGATGCTATGGAGTTCCTGTTTTATGGGCAGATTGTGTCGGCTGCCTGTTACTTACCTGGCCATCCAAACTAGAAACCTCAAATCTGCTCCTGGTCTCCAATGAGAACACCTTCTCAGTTCTCCTTCTGAAAATCCATCTCCTCTCTGTTTCTTCCTCTCCAGTCTCTCTTCCTCAGTTTCCCTTCCTCTCTTGCCTGGACCATGCTGCATTGCGGTTGCCTTGGTAACCTGTCTGTGCCTCTCTCCTGTAAGACATAAACTGCACCCAGGGACTCGCTGGACCCTCAGTGCCCAGCATCAGGCTGACTCATGAATATCAACGGAGACTGGGCTTCTAAGTCCACTGCTCGTAAAGTGAATGCCGTTGGGACCACCAACCCTTCCCCACAATTTTCGCCTCCCAAGAGATTCTTGGTTTGTTTCAGCAATGCATTCACCAAGAGAAGGATCTGCATTGATTTAAATGACTGACTCCTCGCCCAGACTTATGCTTTAGAATCACATTATTAACACGCCATGCCCAAAATAGTGCATGGGACAGTCTTATGCTAAATCCTTATGCAGAATCTGTGACTTCTTTTTTAAAAAAAGTATGCATTACTTTATCTGGTATTCAAATTTAATGGGGCTTCTTATATATTTTATTGTGATAAAATTCATCATTCTGACTAAAGTATGCATGCAGGAGCAGCACATTTTGAATATGGTGCCACCGTCACCACTGTCCAGCTGTGGTGCACAGCTGTATGAGCAGGACTCTGGCTCCAGGGCGATCTAAACTCAGCTGACTTCGGCTCAGCCCTGGAAAGTACGCAGGGCTGGACTGGAAAAGGTGCCAGGGAGATCCTAGATTTCAATGACTTTTTCCACTTGGCAGCCAGCTGCAGGCAGATTCCCAGGAAAGCAGTTTGATAACAGGACTGACAGCTGCACAAGTTTGTCAATATTAGCAGCAGGGTGGAGATCGGAAGGCAATAATAAGCGAAGCAAGTTGAGGAGCTCCTGCTGCAAACGCCTCCCGGTGTGTGCAGAGCCTCCTCTCTGTGATCCCTGCTGCCCCCGGGAGGCCAGTTCTTACACCACAAACTGCACTTTTGAAAACCCGCAGCTACCTCCACCCAGGGCTCCGGAGTAGTTTACTCCTTTGCAATACCACTTTGAAATTCTTAAGTGTTAGTTATGAGCTTGGGCTGCATAAGTAGATCTGATGGGATGACAAAGCGTGTGTGTAAGATGCACACGACATTGACATCCACGTGTGCGCTGTCCACCAGAGGAGGATCCCAGTGATTCTCCCCGCATAGGCGGCCAGCAAGCCTGCGAGCAAGCGATAGGTGTGTGTGTCGCACCTACACCTGAGTGTGGGCAGCCCCGCAACCCTGACTATCCACACTGCCTACTCCAGCCAAAAACAGTCTGAGACACAGGAAGACGAGGATGCGATCTAAAACTGCAAATAACCAAGAGAACCTGTCCTTCCCTTCTTCCCCGAGCCACGCCCGCTAAGGACCAACCACTTGTGCTGACAGAAAGGGCGGAAAAGACCTCCAGAGGGTCTCTCCCCCGTCCCTCCCACTCATCAGTAAGCAGAAGGCGAAGCATGCTGCAGAATGTGTAAGTGTCCTAAAGGTGACTTAGTCCTGGGCAGCACTTAACTCAGTCCTAGGCAGCACTTACCCTATTTTGGTAAGAGCAAGACGCATACGCATGCACCAGCTGCAAAATATGAGCTGCATCTCAGTGGCTCCAAATACAAGTTTACAGCGTTTCAGGCCAGCACAGCATGACATAAACAGCACGAGTCATACTAAAGGTTTACACGTTTAGTCTTTCGCAGCGAGTACACAAAAGAGGGGCACTGCTAATGCTTTGAACAATACTTTTCCCCGCTTTGGGAACAAGGGCTCATCATTTCTGGTTCACACTGGGTTCTGCATATAATTCCCTCTCCATGAGCCCTGGGTGCTGAATCTGCTGAGCCTCTGCCAGACTGATTTTTTTAATTGCCTAAACCCTTCATTTCCCTAAGCCACATATTCATCTGTAAGATGGGTACAAAAGAGATGCACCTGATTCTCATGTAGACCCAAGGGAGATGGAAGGATTCCAGAGTCCGTGGGAGGAGGAAACACCATCTAAGCAGGAAGTTCTCGTCTGGGGAAACTTGAGATCTCATGAGCCCAGTCAGCCAGCAGCGGTGGAGATGACTCTAGGACAGACAGACGGCCACCCTTGCTTGCAGTGAGTCGAGAATACAGACAAGGATGTGAGATAAACACACACACAGGAGCTCCCAGCCACAGGAGTCAGGGGAATCTCAGAGAGTTCATGTGACTTGGCCACCGTCCCATCCCACAGCTGGTCAAGCTCTGAACCCCTCTATGAATGAGCCAGGGACCGCAGACCCGGCTCCTGACTGGCAGGAGGAGCGGGCAGCCTGCACAGCTCTGTGGGCACAGCGTGAGACGCGGCCGCTGCTTAATAATCAGGTCCATCACATTCCAGCTTTAAATGGATAGCGCTGAGCTGGACCTGGACCTGCGTTTATAGCCCTAATTATGGTGCACCTGATCATGACCTCGGCGTTTGCTTAAATGGTATTTTTGTTCCTTAACGTTGTTTTCTGAAAGACGCCTTCTCTGATCTCTCATCTCCCTCTTCCAATGGCCTCAGATCTGCTCCATACTAAGGACTGGGCTGGGTGCTCGTGCGTCTGGGTTGGGGGGACTCAGCGTCCTGTGATGATGACCCAGAGAGAGTGGACACCCTGGCTCCCCTACTGGTCTCCCTAAGCCCAGCTCTCCATGCAGCCTGGCGCTCTGCTATAGTAACCAGCTCACATTCCCCGAGAGCATGTTTGCCAGTGCCCTGGGGCACTCAAGTGATGCTCCCCTTTTGCACTGGACATTTGGGAGCTCAGAGATGCACACCCCCAGAGGCCAGCGAGCCTTCAGAACAAGTCTGTAAATCAATATGCACCTTTACTTTTGATCCTATTCCCACTGGATGTCTCTTCACTTGCTTTTCTATCTTCTTTTGGTATCTATCCCCTTCCCCTCTCCTACCGTGTTGTCTGGGTCTCTGTCAGACACTGTAGGGAAAATCTTGGCTGGAATTAAGTAAATAGAATGGTCCTGAACTTCTGGCTTGCAGAGAAAAAGAACACCTCTGCTAATGTCACGTTCTATCATCAGAGCAATGGAGTCACCCACTCTCCAGGGTCCAAACCCTGTGGGACTCGGGCTGAGATGTTATCTCCTTCCCATGAGGAGCCTGCACCCTGGTGCAGGTGGTGTTCTGGAATAAATGGGGCTGAAAGGCAGACAGAGCTGCAAAATCTCACGGAACATGTTTTCCCTGCTCTGACCGTGACCCCTGGCCACCGGGGAAGGGAACTGCGACCCAGCTCTACCTGGGAAGGATTGGGGGGAGGGTGGGGTGCCTGGAAGCCAGCAGGGCACTCATGCAGGAGAACACAGGTGCTGGATTTTTATTGGCAAGGTGACGGCAGCCTGAATGCGGGAAGAGAAGCTGTTTCTAGAAGACCAGCAGGGACGAGGACTCCACCCAGGCTTGTGTTTGCCCTGTTCTGTGTATTCAGCCAGCAGGCTCCGGACCAGGAAGCGTAAGGCAGGGAGTGGGGCTCAGTGGATAAACTGGCCCTGCACAGTACCAGCAGCAACACAGGACCCTGAGTGGCTCCAGGTGACGCCAGGAAACTGAAGAGACTCCCACAGGGGCTCAGCAGGTAACCACTTTCAGAGCCTCAGTGGGGGGCGCTGGGGTCTGCGGTTTGTGGGGGTGGCAGAATGCAGTTACTGGAGCTCAGAAGGCTGAGTTTAACCCTAGCTCTGTCAGCTGGTCACTGTGCGTGTTGGGTTTGTGTGAGCCTCAGTTTCGCCATCTGTGAAATGGATTTAAAGCTAACACTTCTACAAGATTTTGGTTTTACAAGGGTTCAGTGAGAATGTGGGCAGGGTCGGGGGTACAGCAAGGTAAAAGGCTCCTATTTGTACTGCACTGTTGAGAGTCCTTCCCAGGGTGGGACTTGGTTAGAGGTCAGGAGGTGGAGGCATAGGGTGGGCAGCTGGGGATGACTGCCAGGGTGAGAATCCCCCACAGCCAAGCAGACTTAGTGTCTGCACGTTGGGGCAAGGACCCGTTGAGTACCTCTGTGCATCTGTCTCTTTCTGTAAAGCACATCCAAGACGACCTTGCAAGCCAGGTGCTGGGTTCAAATCCAGATGCATGGTACAGCTATTCATACCATCCTGGGAGCCACCTTCCTGTCTAGCAAAGCCGTGTGGTTCAAGGGTGGGGTGCTGGGGCTGGACCTCCAGATGTGGGCTCAGCCCGGCCACAGGCTGTTTGGGAGCCCCGGGCAGCTTCCTTCAGCCCCTAGAGCCTCTATTTCCCTGTCTGCAAAATGGGCACAATAGCTATCCCTAAATCAAAGGACGGAGAGGACCACAGTAATGCCCACGGACTGCTAGGCACCTTTTTCCTTTTTGCTGTTTCCAATGTCTCTATGTCATGATTTGGAAAATGTGGCAGAGCTGGCAAGGGGACAGGAAGTGGGGTCAAGGTCTCAAAGAAAGGAGGTTGGAACCAGGACCCCAGCAGGGTGACAGGTGGGGAGAGAAGTGTGCAAAACCCGAGGGGGGCCCCAAAGGCTCAGTCCTCAGTGTCAGGCCTCAGACAGAAACTGAAGACTAAAAATGAAGGTCAGCACCTGTGCACTCAGTAAAATAAGTCTCGGTGCGTTCAGTAAAATAAAATCAGTCACAGTGTTCATTTTGCTTTGTAAAAGTTGTGCTGAAGGATTTGTCTTGATGACCGAGGCCTGTGCCGCCCCTGAAGCATCATCCCCAGGGCTGGGCCTCACTGCCTGGCCTTAGGCCTGGCCTTGCCGTGACTGAGGTGGCTTCAAAGCTTGGCTTTCTCCCTAAATAAGGGACGTTTAAAAGTTGCTTGGCTTGCAGGGGAGGGGCAAACCCAAGCCCCAAATCACACGGGACCTTTTCTCAGGAGCTCTAAGACTCCCAGGGGTTTTTACAGGAAAAAACCTGTGCTTTGGGAATGCAGAGTCCACGAGGACCCGCCCCTCCAGGCCGGGGTGGGAATGCGCAGGGAGGGGGGCTGGACTGCTTCGGCGGGGGGGTCTGGCTCCCCGATCGATGCTAGATGATGCTCAGCCATCCTGCGACTGCTCAGTGCATCATCTGTCCCAGCACCACAGCCTCTGCTGCTCAGTCCAGCCCTGCACTGCAGAGCACAGGCAGGCTGTCTTTTGCACGTCACATCCTTGTTTGGTGTAGTTGGTTGTGACACTGGGGTTGAACCCAGGGCTGCCACGCTGAACGACATCTCCAGTTCTCTTTGATTTTGAGACTAGGTCTCGCTAAGCCTGCATTGCCCAGGCTGGGCTTGAACTTGTGGACCTCTGCCTCAGCCTCCTGGAGCACTGCGTTTGTGCCTGAGGTCCGTGAGCGTTTGTTCGAACCCCAGCTCCACCCCTCCCTAGCTTTCTGACCACGCTCCCGTTTATCCATGTAATGATGAGATGGGAAGGGAGGATCCTCCACACGGGCAAGGCCATCTGTGGAATGGGATGACCTCTGCAGGAGGAGACAGGAGGCAATGCACGGTAGAGAGCTGGCATCTGGGCCCTGCAAGAAGGAAGCAAGCGGACCCCTGGGGCAAATGCGGGGGGGGGGGGGGCTGTCATACCTGCCCAACCCTGCGAGCGACACCTCCTTGCACTTAGCGCCCTGCTGTGCCACTCCGGGTGGTCCCTATGCACGGGAGTCTGGCTAACACACACGCCCTGCCCTCCTCACCAGTCGAAAGACACTTGGTGCCATACACAGAACAATGTGATGAGTTCCTTGTTCTCCGGGATCATCCACACTTACGCCGTTATGGTCAAGTGTTCCCACAGCACTGCATCCGTCACTCAGTGTTCCTAAAACACCTGCGCATCGCATCCCAGGGCTCAGGGCTGGGGACTGGAAGCAGGGCTGCATTCAGTCCTCTGTGACCCCGGTGTAGGAAGCAGCCTCCGCCGCTGTCCTCAGCATCAGCTAAGAGCTGGCGTGTCCCCAGCACTATGCCGTGGTACATGGGGAGACAGATGCAGGACAGAGTGGGTCTGTTCTCATTGTTTATGTGCACATGGACCTGGCTTGGGGCCGGGGCAGGGCTGGATCTGTGGGCTGTGCGGGGCTGGCCGGGGCAGCATCACCTCTCCCTGGGTGGTGCAGAGGGCCCATGGTTTGCCCGGATTCCACCGCATGCAGTGAAGGTGTTTCCTGTTTACCCGGTGACTAATCCTGCCACCGATCCACCCTTCCAGGACCTCCCCTTCCACTCATTAGCTGCCTGCTGCCTAGCAACTTTCAGAAAAGCTCTTTCTCCACGGCTCATTGTTAATCTGTAACCAGAGCAAGTGTGGGAGGCAAAAATTTCCAGGGCAGCATTGAGACTGGGAAATGTATTCCTGGATCAAAACACAGAGCTGAAGAGATCACAGATTACTAAGGGAAGTATAGACTATTAGTAATGACTAACACTGCCTCTCCCGGGCCCTGCCAAGCCCTGTGTTAAAGCCTCACGCTGTCAGTGACCATTCCATTTTACATTCCTCTTTGTGTCATACCATGCTCCTCAATTAGTTATAATTTTAAGTTCCTGGAGCTGCAGAGCTAGCTCAGTGGTAGTGTACTTGCCTAGCATACATGAGGCCCAGGGTTCGATCCTGGAGGAAAAATTGTATTGCAAAAACAGATATGCAATAAATACTTTATACTCTACCTTCTATTTTTACATGTAACTAAGAAAAGCATAGCAAAGTTTACATGGTAGGAGGGACAGGAGAAAGTATAAAAGTAGTAAGTTAAGAATTTGGGTACTAACCCCATTTGTCAGGGCCCCACCCTTACAACCTCAGTCCACCTTGATTGAGTGCTCACTGGCCCTACCTACAAATACAGGAACGTCAGGGGTTAGAGCCTCACCACAGAGTTTGAAGGCCTGTGGCATCATCTCAGGTAGGACCTGAAGCTCCCTAGATGCAGGTTTGACATCTAAGGACACAGATGGGGTCAGTAAGAACACCTGCTCTGATGAGGGTCTGGGAGGATCTGGCAGATTAACACAGGACAACACAGAGGAAGGCACAGTGTAGCCACCAGAGTGCTAGCAGGTGCTGGCTGACGGTCAGCCCTCCACATCTGAGGGCTTTGCCCGGAGAGTCAACCCACTGCAGACGGACAACACTGTTTAAAAAGGTAGCCCTTTGGCTGATGAGATTGTTTTAAAATACAGCCCTTTCCCTTGCCAACCTTCCCTAAACCATAAGTGTAACATCGGCATACACAGCATACACATTACAGTTAGTATTATCGGCGATCTAGAGGTGATCTAAAGTATGCAGGAGGATGTGCGTAGGATCTAGACAAATAGGGCCATGGGTGTCCACCAATGCTGTGTCCACAGGAGTCCTGAGATCCCCGCCCTGCCCCACCCCATATGTGGGACCACTAAAGAACCACATGCCTTACTTGCATATAGTAACAGCTGGTCTACTCCCCAGCTGCTGTTCTCCTGCAGGGGACCAAACCCCGCTTTAGTCCTCCCTAGAGCCCAGTGATGGTGGTGATTGGTTTCATTGCCTCACCGTCACAGCTGAGGATCTGGGATTTCCACCCAAGCAACGGGCGAAAGCCCAAGCAAGTCCCCTCCACCACTGCTCTGCTACCCAGCTTTTCAGAAATGCAGAGCCCAGGGGTACACGGGGCCATACATACAGGAGAAAAGTGAATCCAGTCCCCTGAGCGGGTCCCTCAGTCCCAGCACTAGTGAGCCCTGGTGATGAGCGGTTCTTGTTACTTGGGGAGGGGACTGCCCTGGGCATGGTGGTGTTTACAACATCCCCAGCTTCTATTGCCTGAGTGGCAATGGTGCCCCTGCCACTCTAAGATGCCACAGTCAGAAACATTGCCAAGCATTTCCAAAGGTGCCCTGGGGGCCAGAATCACTCCTGGTTCAAGGACATTGCCCTGAAGTTACTAAGAGAGAAAAACCAAGAACAAGTTTCCAGACAGAAGTTTAGTGTAACAGTGTAACTCGTACACACATACATGAAATAGTGTTTATATAGCATCACACGCATGCACACATGCGCACACACACACACACAAACTCATCTCTAATGCTTACCTGACCAGCAGCTATGCCTAACTCAGTCACCCCCCACCCCCCACCCCCCATACCATCAGGTTATAAGGACCAAAAGCTGTCTGTGCCACAGTTTCCCATCAGAAAACTAAGAAAATAACACTGCCTAACCCAGGTAGTGCTTGGGAGGACCAAGAGAAGGAAATTCCTGCAAATGAGAGGTGCAGACCACACTTTAAATGGGGCAAGAGAGTCTGGCTAATGCAAAATGATGGACCCACTCTGCCCTGCATCTGTCCCCCTGTGTACCCCGGCACAGTATCTGCAAATGACCCAGGCATGCTTGTCACTGTCACCATGGATTTTGCACATCTTCACAAGAAAGATGGGTGCAGGGGTCAAGTGCCCTGCCCAAGGTTAGGACTTGTAGGGCTTTGCAGAGGCCTGTCTAACCCCAGGGTTAGGGAAGAGGGGCGCCCAGGGATTACAGCATTCAAGGCCACCTCGCCCTCCCTCCGAGCCTGCACCCCTCACTTCCAAGCAGCCACCCCCTAGGAACCACTGGGCCCTGCACACCCACACTGGGAGAAGGGAAGCCAGAGTTCCAGGACCTTTCTGTTGAAAAACAGTAGCTGACAAGGAGACAGCTAGAGGTACATGCCAAACACCTGGGCTGGCCCTGTTTTGCTGCCCCTGGAGTCCACAGCCACTCCTCCAGGCGGAGTCCCCTGAGCCCAGCTCTGTTTCAGGACAGGCAGCATCCAGGAGAGACCTCTGATGCTGGATGGCCCTCTCCTTAGATCGCCCAAGCCACAGCGATCGGCCACAGGAGTCAGCCGGAGACCCTGAGAATGAGGTGATGTCCAAGCCCAGCCTGGGGCCTCTCCTGAAGTCAGCCTGGCCGAGCCAGACCTGAGGTCTCAATACCCAATGTGCAGGCAACCCTGACACACAGCCCGGTGCGAGGAGCGGCCCAGGGCCACAGGCAGGAGATGAGAGCAGAGACACAAAGACCCTCTGCTCCGCGTAGGCCCATAGCCCCGGCCACACTCCCAAAGCACGAGGGCCTCAGACTTGAGTCTGATTTCAAAAACAGCGTCCCCTGCTCTGCAGTAGCATAATGCACAATAGTCACCAAAACAGAAAGATCCATACCCTTGGCTTATAGGAAAAAAACACACTTTAACATCAGATTAAATTTGTTTTCCCAAATGAAAGCCAGCCCTTCTGACTCAGGAGGTGCACTGTGAGCCACTGCCTGTGTAACCGACTTTTCCTGATTGGAGAACATTGATGAAAACACTGTCACAGACAGCAATCATCATCTCAACTGCCTCATGCCTCAGTTTCCCTGTCTTTAAAGCTAGGAAGAGTCCCCGACCCCAGAGCACCCCGATCCCTGGCACAGCCCCGAAGGTAACCCCTACCCCTGTGGGTGACAGACTGATCACGAGAACCACTGGACATTTGTGAAAATACAAATCCCAGGGCTCCAACCTGACGTTTTAGTGAGAGGGTTGTGGGGAATCAGGCAGACCACTAGATTTCTCATGGATTCTCCCTACCAAATGACTCTGGGGGACTCGGACTGCAAAGAGCAATGACAATTGTGATAATGCTGGTCACACCAGTGCCTGCACGGATCCCAGCGCAGGCCAGGCCCTATGCGGGGCACCTTGCCTGCACAAATGCATTTAACACATGAGCTCACTCCAGCCCTTGAAATGGAGCCTGCTGTGATCCTCACTTTACAGATGAGGAAACTGAGGCTCTGGGAGGCCCAGAAACTCAATATGTGGTGAGCAGAAATCCCAGACTGCAGAGTCTAGCTTCCTATCCATGCATTACAGCGCAGTGCATTCAGATAGTTGGCACGCTCTGCCCTGGCCAGTCCTCCGCGCCGGTCCAGCAGGTTATCTTACTGCTTTCGGGTTACAGCACCGTTTGGGCGCGGGAGGACTCGCTGTCCTCTGGCCAGCGAATATTAGCAGGTTTCCCTGACAACCCCCCCAGCTGCTCCCCTGCGCCTTCCTGTGTTGTGCTTACACCCACCGATAGGTGGCAGTAACCTCTCACTTTTGTCCCGTGGAAGGGCAGGCACAGCTTTCTAATTGGTGGTGAAAAGCAGCATTACAGCATTCACAGCTGCTGCAAAAACACATGTGGTTGGATTTTCCTTCTTTCAGCCCTCGTGGCCCTGAGTTTGTTGAGAGGCTACTTCAGACGTGCCCCGATTGGCACCCTGCAATCCCTCATTTGTGGGACAGGAAAGTTTCTTTCCTGCTGCCCGGGGAACGCAGCCCCGAGACACCTCATAACCTCATGGGTTTATTGGTTGTGTCTCCCAAATAGAATCCAATTAAAACTGAGTAATGGGAACTGCGGGGTTTTTAGGCTGTTAGCTAAATTTAGACGGAAACATCATTCCATGTAAACATTATTGTTTTACATGCATGTACACAGGCATGCTTATGTACGACCTGGCCAAGCCATCTGAGCTGTGTGACTCAGTTTCCTCACCTGAAAATTTGGGGTTATGGCACTGCCTTGCTGATTTGTCACAAGAAGTAAGTTAGCTGTACAAGGGACATTCAACGCCGAGTGAGCACCCAGCAAGTGCCACTATTATTATTTTATAACTGTGCTTATTAAAATTGTCAATGTTTTAATACACAGTAGGTCCAAATCCTGGTCAGTCCTCCCTCAAATGGCTCGGCCCCCTTATTTGTGAAGTGGGTACATGCTACTCAGGGTTATCTTGAGCAGCGTCAGTAAACTTCCCGGAGAGACTCAGATAGAGAATATCTCAAGCCGATGACTTAGCTCAATGGCACAGCGCCTGCCCGGCAAACGTGAGGTCATGAGTTCGACTCTCAGTACAAAAACAATCTCAAGTTTTGTAAGCCTCCATTCTGCAAATGCACTGGCAAAGAGGCTTGGCTCTGTCATGACAGCAGGGCACCGTCCATAGACAATAAAATACACAAGCAGCTGGGCATCGGTGGCAGGTGGGCGGCACATGTCTGTTATCCCAACTACTCCAGAGGCTGAGGCAGGAAGATTACAAGTTCAAGACCAGCCTGGGCAACCTAACAAGATGCTGTCTCAACATTTAAAATAATAACAATAATAATAATAGACTGGAGATTACGCTCAGTGGCACAGCACCTGCCTGGCAAGCATGAGGTCCTGAGTTCAATTCCTGATACCAAAAGAAAAAGAAAAAAAGAATAAATAAATATAAAATGTTGGGTATATAACTCAGGCTCTCTGGGTTCAACCCTAGTATGATAGATAGACAGACAGACAGATAGGCAAGCATGGTTGTTTTTCCATACAACTTTATGAATGTTGAAATCTGACATTCACCGAATTCTCTTATATTTTATGATGTTTCTTCTGAATGCTTTGGACCACCTATAAGCGGAAAGCCCACCCTCAGCCCACTAGTGATCCTGGAACCAAGACTGAGCTGCCCCTAGTGGCTGCCCTTGGTCTTAAAGACGTAGCAATATACTCCGAATGTCCCACGCACAGATGGAAAGTGGTAACCTGCCGTGAGAAGGCATAGCACGGATTTTATAAATAGAGGCCTTGCAAAATAAGAAGCATCACATAGGTTTTAGGCGCACTCAGCTTTATCATGGGGTGGGATTGGAAAATACATAAAGTCCCCAGATTTAGGTTGAGTACCAAAGTCCCCAGATTTGGTTATGTACCAAATTCCCCCGAGAGAGCAGGTGGTGAGATGCTCGGCCTTTCTTGGCCTCTCTGATTTCCAGTTACTCACAGTGTCTTTTATCCGGGAATAGAAATTGTGCCCAGGACAGCAAGGCCGAGGGGATCCTCGCTGACACATGGGCTGCTTTCAGCCTGAGACCCACAGTTCTGGTTTTTGTTCTAAGGCCCACAGAAGCACACGTGCTGGCAGGTAGGGGCTCAGAGAAGGCAGCAGCATATGTTTGTAATCCCAATACCTAGAAGGCTGAGGCAGGAGGATCCCTGCAAATTTGGAGCCTGCCTGGGCTACAAAGTGAGCTCAAGGCCAGCCTGTACTACATAGCTGTCTCAAAAAGACCAAGAAAGAAAGAAAAGCGAACACATTGGGACCGACTGCACATGTGAGAATGTGCCTCAGACACCAACATGGCAGCCTGTGGAGTGGGCAAAGGGTCACAGTTCTGGAGTCAGACAAACACAGGCCAGGTGCCCAGTGAGCCACGCTGCGGACATGCGCCTCAGAGTGACCACTGGAGGCTCAGTTCTCTCTTTCAGGGGAGAGGATGCTGGACCACCGGGGGTGGCGGCACACAGAGCTGCATCTCTAGCTAGGTGACCTGCAGAAGGTCACGGCAGCTGCAGGGCCTCAGCCTCCTCTTGGGCCCAGTGAGAGGCTGAGAACGCACCGCTCAGTGGAGCCAAGCAGGCAGCCGATGCAGGCGAAGCTCCCGGAATAACACACATGCTGCCTGTGCCCATCAATAAATACAATAAATGCCAATGCTATGAGAAGTCCGAGCAGGAATTAATTCAGTTTGAGGATCAGAGGAAGCTAAAAAATATGTGCTATTTCAGTTACTTTTGTGCTGAGGTCTTTGATATGACAGTTATGAACCCAGCTAAAAGGGAGGAAAACTTTATTACCCTTAATATACTTAGGACAATAAATGCCCCTCCCCCACCCCCACCCAGCAATGAAATGCAACTGAAATTTAAGGCTGCATTTGAGTTTCTGTCGCATCTAAGGTTCAAGCTCTCCTCTCATTCACCAAAACACATCCAAGCAAGTTGTCCTAACCTGGTCTTGTAAAAATCGCACCTGCAAGCAACTGGCCAGGTCTCTGCACCTTCACTTCCCGTGTGGGTTAACTCTTCCGGTCCAGTGTTAGTTTGATTTCTTCCTTTCTCTCCCTCACTTTTTTCTCCGTTGCAGGAACAATGGGTAACCAGCTGAGTGTTCCACAAAGGGCTGAGGAGGAGGAGCACCACTGGGAAGCAAGCTCTTACAAGGTAGCCCAAGGGTGGGCATCCCGGGGCTGTGCTGCTGCACTGGGGCCAGAGGAGGGGGAGAGGCCTGACCCAGGAGTGGGCCAGGGCGGTGGTGTTCTCACTCCTGTTCCTCTGTGGTTGGATCGCTGGCGGCCACCATGACTCGGGTTAAAAAGGCAGGTTCAGAAATGCTACTTAGAGCTCAAGAGTGATACAGGAATCGCAGAGCAGGATTTCTAGGGAGCCCATGTCCGAGCCCTCCACGGGCAATGCCTAGGAAGCCAGGCTGATACCTTCTCCCAGATGTGCCCCGTCACTGCTCACTGCTCCCCCTAGAGGCGGGCAGGTGGCCATGGCTGGAGATATTTTTGATAGTCCCAATTTCTGGTGTCTAGAACACAGGAGCCAGGGCTGCCATCCTACACCCTGCAATGCACAGGTCGGCACCCCTGTGCCCAAGAATGATCTAGCTCAGAATGTCCATTGCTGAGGATGAGAACCCCAAGGATACATCAGGAGTTCGAGATCTTAGCTGCGCATGAGGAAACTTTCTGAGGCTTGATGGGGCTGAGGCAGGCGAAGTCCCCAAAGCATCTCACCAGGAGGACGGGCAGCCAGGGGCAACAATGGCTCTGTAGGGAGCCTCTGAGTAGTCCATCTCGAGAACAGAGGCCCCCAAACCCACACACTTCTTTTTGGATCGTCTACATCTGGAAAGCAAAAAGCCAGAGTGTCTCCCGTAAGGGCTTTTTATATCAATTCAGCTTAAGACCTGGAGTGCTGCTAAACATGGCGATCCCTGCAGGAGCCATAGCTATGAACCAGTGTTGATCACACAGCAGAGGGAGTTTCTGTGCAGAACACAAGGCTGCATTTGAAGAAATGCTTCGAGATGCAAAGGCTGACCACAGGGGCCTCGACCCAAAATGTGCATTAGCATTACCTGGGAGCCTTGGAAATGGTGCCAGGCCCTGCCAGGAGCAGCTGCAATCTCAGTCTCTGGTTGTGGAGGGGACACAAATCGTTTCTCAAGCTCCCTGAATAATCCCAAGTTCCACTAAGTCAGGTTACACTGGGCGTCCGGGAGCCAGGCAATAACAAAGCCAGTGTAGCCGGGAGGCGCCACCATGGAGAACCGGAAACCGAGGGCCCTGCACCAGCCTGCACCGCCAAGATGCCGGGCAGTCCCGGGTTCCTGCGTTACACTGGGAATTGGAAAGCAGTGCTCTCCAAGTCCGCAGGTTGTTGGATACCAGCGAGTGATCCTGAAACCCTGCAGATGCTCTGCGGACCCAGTATCTCAGATCTGTCCAGGTCCTGACCTGGGGATTCCAGTCACCATGGTTGGGCCACTGGATTTGATGTTGGCATTTCAGTTTCTTGGGAGGGTTACAGTAAATCCAAGAACAAAGTCATTTAAACCATTACAAGCACTGCAAACACAGAAGTCAAGGAAAATTCTGTACCCGCCCAGTGTAACCCACCTTAAAGATTTGGCATTCAAGATTTTTTTTTCATTTTTCCTCTTCTCTATATTTATTAACATATCTTCTTATGGTGGATAGTAGTAGCAACATAAAATATTATATTTAAAACATTTAAAATACAATTAATATTTAATGCTTTATCTATTTATTTATTTACTTTTGCAATACTGAGGATCGGGCCCTGGGGTATACTACCCACCACTCGGCTATATTCCCCAGCCTTTCCTACTGGTTCCTTTTATATTTTGACACAGGATCTTGTGAAACTGGGCTCAAACGTGAAAATCTCCTACTGCAACCTCTCAAAGTGCTGGGATTACAGGCAAGCACCACTGTGCCTGGCTGTAACATATGCTTTTGCAAATATTTTTTTTTCCATGTGAGCATGTATGTGTGTGCATACATGTCTTATATGGTCTTTTTAAAATGTCTATAATAAATAACAGAAAAGAAAAACATCAGGGCAGGTCCTGAAATTAGGAAGAAATTACAACAATGCAGATGAAGGGAGGAAATACAGCACACACACATGCACGCACACTCACACACACACACACACACACACACACTGAACTTCCCGTATGGAAGAGTTTGTTGAGTAGGCTCCTGGCTGATGATGGACTATAGGTGCAAGACAGCCTCATATATCTGCACGTGTCCTAAGTCTGTGCTCCATCCATAAAAAGAACAAGGTCCACCTCAGGTTAGATAAGCACCAATTGTGACCTCAGGGTCCCATCTGCACCGTGGGGCGCACAGAGGGGAGACATAAGCTGTGATGTGCTCCTAAGGTGACGGACCCCAGGCCCCGCGTGGGTTAACTCCTTACTCTGAGGCATCACTGAGAGCTTCCTAGTTTCTAGAAGCACAGCCTTTCAGTTAAGTTTGCTGTGAGGGGGCCTAGTAGCTTCCTCCTTGGGTTCTTCCACTGCCCCTCAAAGACCTGACCAACAATGGTGCCTGTTGTGTTACAGGTAACATCTGACGATGAGTGTGCTCAGAACGGGACACCGGTGATCATATCGACCCGCACCACTCAGCACTATGACGAAGGTCAGTGTGGTAATGCGTGTGGTAAGCCCCCCTGGGGCTTGAGCCCTTTGATTCCATTTATGGCAAACAAAACAGAGCGAGAATCCACAGGCTCCCTCCAGACACCTGCTTGCATTGGTCTCCAGAACTCACCGTACCAAATGCATCATGAACAGGGGCAGATTAAACATCGTGAGAGTATTGTCTTACAGAGCTGAAGGCCAGCGGTCCAGGATCAAGGGGAGGGTAGGGCTGGACCTGTTCCCCACCACTCCCTGCGTGTGGGTGTCTCCTGCCTGTGCCTTCACTGTGTCTTCACTATCCGTGTGTCTGTCTTGGTGACCAAACTCCCCCTATGTACAAGGAAACAGTTCTATCATGTCCTGTCCTTGTCTCGGTCTGGGAAGTTTATATTTGTAATTCCGTGGAGTTAATTCCAATCTGCCACTTCCAGTGCAACCCAAGATGAGAGTAAAGACACCAAGATATGTTTATATTTACGGGGAGCCGAGGGGTACTAAGTCCAGCCGAGATGGTGGCTCACTGGAACAAAGGCCTCGCCCAGAGCTCAAGCTCGGTTTTATTAATCCTCCATGAGAGGAGTGGCTTGGGGATGAGCCTCAGTGAGGGTGGCGAGAAATAGGTGACTGCCGTGACTACCGTGAGCTGGGCCAGGTGGGCGGCCTGAGATCGCCTCTGCGATATGCAGAGGACAAGAAATGCAGGCAGAGTAATCTGCACAGGGCAACTGAGTCAGCCATATTTCTGGTCGCTGCTTCAGCTCTGAGGCACAAGCCTTTTTGCCCTAGGAAGTCAAAGCCTCTTTCTCGGAGCTCAGTCCCAGCCGACAGAGTGGTGCACGGCTCTCCATCCCACCCGGCTCAACCACATATGTGGGGAGTCACTGGGTGGGGTAACTCTGACCTGTGGCTTTGCCTCAGAGATGACACATCACCCTCTCAGCCAGCCCGGGTTACATTGCTTAAAGCCAACTGAAGGGACAAAGAAATAGCCAGCCAGCTCTGCACTATCAGGACATAGACATAAGGCCGAGTTTACCCAAAGTGGAGCTAGCTGCTCTTCTTTCCAGGAGAGGCACCTGGGTGGTTCCCCACACTGGTGAGAGCCCACCCTCAAGATCTCCTCTCAATGGATCATCTGCAGCAGGTACCAGCTCCACACGAGGAGCGCAGATGTTACGTACCAGGAACACGCGCCCACTAAAACTCATGAATAAATCAGTGATTTTTTAAAAGGCCTTATTTCCCAATAAGGTCACATTTGCAGGGATTGGGACTTCCATATCTTAGCAGGATACAGTACAACTGTCCCCATGGTGGTCTTTTCTGCATGTGTAGGACAGCTGTGAGAGACCAAGCGTTTGTACCTGATGAGATACAAGCAATAGAGGAAAAGCACCAGCCGTCTGGCTTTTGGAGTCACGCAGACCTGGGTTAGAGTCCCTGTGTGGCAGCTTCTCCGTCATATGATGTGTGGTGATGTGTGCCACCTGTGCTGTGTAAGCCTCTTGCATTTCCAACATTGCCCCTGCTGCTGAGTGTAGGACGCCCCATGCATTCTGGCCATGGCAGACTCTGGTGAATTACAGAGGAGAAGCAGAATCTCTGATGGCAGAGATTGCAAGGCACAGAAAATGTGACCTAGTCACCACCTTTAGGCCAGGCCTGAGGAGTCACCCTGGGAAGAGATGGGGGCCGCGTCCCTGCAGGCTCACCAGTCACCTGCACCGGACAGGTGGCCGTGCCGGGGCATGGCTCGGCTTCTCCACCTGCGAGCTGATGGGAGGAGAAAAACCTGAGCCTCAGATGCAGGAGGAACATGGCCTCCCAAGGCTCCTCGCCAGCTTGGGAGAGAGTTCAAGTTTGCTTTTCTGCAGCAGCCTTGCCCGTTCCCCCTAGGAGACGAAGGGCAGAGGCTTCCAGGGGCCAGGCTCTGTGAGGGCAGAGATAACGCTGCTGTCACTTCATGAGTGCTCTGTTCTTCGGCAACAAAACAGGTTTGGAGCAGGTGTGTGTGCAGGGGAGAGCGACCCGAGCCCCTGCCTCACCGGGGGGACCAAGGGGACGGGTGGGGAGGCTCCGGGACTCAGGGGGGCGACCGCAGCGCAGGGCCTCCTGCCTTGGGTCTCTGCCTGTGTCCCGTGTCGTGCCTGGCTTTTCCTCAGCTCTCTCGAGAACCCACGTTTGCCTCCTTCTGCCAAAAGCGTCCCCACCAGGAAGAGTTCAGGTTCTGGGACTGCGTTTCTTTGGGAAACCCGAGGGTGGCCCCCAAAATGGTATCGCTCCCCACTCCCCATGACCATGGCTCACCCTCAGAGCACGATGGAGAGTTTGGAGATGAGGAGGTGATCCTGGATGGTCCAAGTGGACTCATCCTTACAGTCGCTGCTGGTGGGGCAGAGTGGGAAAGGACGTGCCAGGAGCAGGTGTGGCCGAGCCAGAGAGACGGGAAGGTGCTGCACTCCAGCCCCGACAGTCGGGGAGGGAGGGGGCCACAAGCCAAGGGTCACAGGCGGCTTCCAGATGCTGGCAACGGCAAGGAAGCCGATGCTCCCCAGAGCTCCTAGAAGGCGGCCTGTTGTTGACACCTGACCTGCGGGTCTGTGAGGTAATATATTTGTGTCACCTGAGGGTGCTGAGGTTTTCACTTGTCATAGAAGTGCCTTAGCGCTGGGCTCTAACACACCTCCTCATAAATCCTGGCTGCGCCGCCCTCCAGCTGTGTGACTGGGTGAGGAATTTGTGCTTCCTCATGTTCATCCCTGACATGACTGTGATGACTTTAACTTTGTGAGGGAGCTCGAGGGGCAGCAGCTGCGCAGGGTGACCGCGCTGAAGGGAAGGAGTCAGCAGAACCACAGGCGACGCTTACCGTGACACCCGTCCCTGTCGCTGGCTCTGCCTGGCCCAGCACCTGCCCTGACTTTACCACGGTGTATTTATGCCTAAAGCACCACGGATCTTTGGGGGAATAAAAGCACCTCGTTTTTCTCCCACTTTTCCTCTCTTCTAGCAAATTTATCACATTAGTCCTGTTTTTTAAAAAAAAGTCACTTGACCGCTTAGCGCATGGCAGAGACCAAGGCATGATTCATCTGCCAGGAGACATCATTTTTCAAAACCAGAACAATGTCTGTTTCACCTGATAAGAAGTTCCTAAAATTAATCTCCTCCTTTTTGTTCCTCAAGAGAAAAACTGCCTAATTTTACTTCGTGTGTGTGTGTGTGTGTGTGTGTGTGTGTGTGCACGTGTTGAATCACTGTATTAAACTGAGAGTGAACCTTAGCTGCTGGCGCCATCTGGGGTAAGAGTAAAAGCATTTGCCCTTGATCCCTTGGTGAAATGTCACAGGAGACCCAGTGCAGGAAATCACAGCTTCCGTCAGAGTGTGGTAGAGCGCACCTATGACCCCAGCTCCGTGGGAGGCTGAGGCAGGAGGATCACAAGTTCAGATCCAGCCTGGCAACTTAGCAAGACCTCATCTCAAAAACAAGCAATGAAACCATCAAGGACAGGGCTGCAGCTCGGTGTGAAGGGCCTGAGCTCAGCCTCCAGTATGGAGGTGGGAAGGGGAGGGCCAGGTGCGGGAGGCACTGGTGGCCCGGATGGATTAAACCCATGTGTGCCTCCAGCATCCACAGTAGCCCTTTGGTTGCTCCGCAGTCTCGCTAAGTTGCCGAGGCTGGCCTCATATGCACGACCCTCCTGCCTCAGTCTCCCGAGTAGCTGCATTCAGTGGTGGACCCCTGTGCCCAGCTCTCATAGGTCTTTAGTAGCCTCTCCACAACTCCGTGTATACGTAAGCTCCGGCCAAGCCCAGCGGCCTCCGCTTGGTTGTCATCGACCAGAGCTCGGCCCAGGACTTGGGACACGATGACCATGATGGCAGGGTCTGCACTGCTCCCCAGAGCCCCAGCAGTGGAGGCCTGGTGAGGGCGACCTGGGACTCCGGGGTCCTGGAGGCTGCAGGGGCCAGAACCACTGCTGTCTCTGTGGGTCCCGCGTGGTCCCCGGGGGAGTCCCTCAGACAGCAAGGCGTCCCCACGCAGCCCAGCATCACGGCTTTCACTTAGATTTCCCCAACCATAAGGGAAACTCCTCACCTGTGCTGAGCCAACCCAGTGCTGCTGCACCCGCGGGAAGCCACTTCTGAAACCGTGCTTTTCCCTGGATCCACACTGCTCCCCAAAGGCAGCCTTTTGAAAAAGCTCACAGACCCTCCTCAGGGTCAGGTCGCCCCACATGGAGCAGCAGGTGAGCTGGCTCAGGGCTTCTGTCCACTGTGAGATGCCCCTCCTGCTTCCCAGAGAGCGACGGTGGTGGGACCTTGCCAGCCGCCTGTCCCCGCCTCAGCTGGGCGTGGGGTCTGTTCACCAGTCTTCCTACACGTGACCTCTGAGAGGTGCGTCTCTTCAGGTGATTTAAAAAGTTCCCCAGGCAGAGTGGCCTATGCCTGTAACCCCATTAGGAGGCTGAGGCAGGAAGATCGCTGCAATTTCTGGGCCAGCCTGGGCTACAAAGTGAGTCCAAGGCCAGCCTGAGACACATAGAGACAACCTGACTCAGTCAATCAATCAATTGATAAAAGAAATACTGAAAAGTCCAAATTTCCAAACTTGCCAAGCACAGCGTCAGACTCTGGAACACAGAGCTGTGGCAGGGCACCTTCAGGCAGAGCTGCGAGCTCCTCTGCCGCAGGGGCTGGGGCTGGGGACCTTCCCAAGCAGGACCAGAAGTGCGTCTCAGCTTCCCGCCCTTTGCCGTTTGAAATGTTTTGTTTTTACTGTTCATGAGGACCCGTCTGCAGCACCTAGAGCTCGCGCTCCTCGCAGGGAGGCGCGGCACGTGCATGACGCCTCTGCCTTCCTTCCTCCGCTCCTGCTTCCCCCTGCCTCCCCTCCCGCCACCTCTTGACGCCCTTCCCCCTTGAGAAAGACCTAGCTCCCTCCTTCCTATCATCTCTGTTTTATTTTGCCCTTAGTTTATATGTTGGGATTCTC